CCCTGCTCCCCCTCAATCAGGCCGGCAGCAGGTCGTGCCAGCCACTACAGAAGAATGATTATGGGGTTGGTAAGTCAAGGGAAATGAGACCAGGCAATTCGCTTACCCTTCTCCTTGCCTGAGGTGAAGATCATATGCCAGTGCCTATATTTCCGAGGTGACAAGTGTCCCCATGTCCCTGCTGACCCTCACTCTGCTCAAAGATCATCTTGGGCTCCAACCTTTGCCCATGGAGTGACCATCAATGGCCCCTGAGTCCAGAACACTGAGGGAACAAGCTTCCCTCCGGCAAGCACACGTGGCGCATTATTTCTCACAGCATGCTTTTGTAATACCCAGCTTTGACAGCACACAGTCTCTGACATGTATAGGAAAGTGTCAAAAAAAGTGCTAACATTTCTACTAGCTTGGATCATTAATTTTCTCAAGGAATTGCTAAATAAAATGACGTTTTAAAAAAGCCCTCCTATGCTACCATTTCTAAAGCTTTATTTTAAATGTTTTATTCTCTTAAACTGCTTTTCTTTTTTTTCTACTTAGCATTATTTTTCCAGACTAAAGCTCATATAGCTCTTTTATATAATAAATGTGATAAATATATTTTTTAAATTACATAGCAAAGAGTGCTGATTGGTAGCTTTTGCTGGACTTTTAAAAACCTTTTTCTTTTTCCTTTTCTTTGGGGTGGGGGGTCCCAAAGCAAAATAAAGCAAAAGGAAAGGGAGGTAATGGTGAATTTCTGCCCCTCTCCAATCTAGGGATAGTGGATACTTTTAGTTGCTAGTTCACTGAGCTGATTAAAGGCTAAGGTTATATGTCTTATTTGGCATACAATAGCTAGTACAAGACTCTGTGTACTGGGCAGACTAGAATGGCCTTTGCAGAGAAATTATTTTAACTATCATGTATTAAGCACAAGGTATTGGCCAGAACTCACTGGAACCTACATTATAGGGACTACTCTTCCCATTTTACATATAGGCTAATTGAGGCCCAGAGAGTTTACTGTATATCCAGGTCTATAGTCATCAGGTGATAGCGACAAGACCTAAACTCCAGTGTCTACCTCTAAAGCCTTTGCCCTCTCCACTCCATTTCTCAGCTTCTGATATGGCAGAGCTCAGGATATGGGAGGTGCATACAGACTGTTCGTCAAAAGAAAGTATTTGTCATCAGGAAGTAGTTGACATACTCATCCAAATTAAAGTCAGGGTCTATAGTATATCTGTCCCAGGCTTGTTTCTGTATTTAAGGGGTCATTTTCTTCTTCTTCCCTCACCCCTTTCCCAAGGACTTGAGCTTCCCTGAGACCTCTATTTGACATCAGAGCATCGTAGAAAGGAAGTTCTCAGCAGATGAAAGCTTCTCCCCAACCACAGTACCTCCTGTCCTGTCCTAATGGGCAAATCTTGGCGATCCGCAAATATCCATCTCACATTTCTGTGGCAACCTTTTCATTAAGATAAAAAGAAAGTGGCACTCATCCCCATTGTATACATTCCTCAAGGCTCCTGAGGACTGAGCCTTGGAGAGGGAACAGGGAATGCTGTATTCTCCCAGCCACCTCTAACTGCATTCTTACTCTTTTTGTATGCTCCACAGTGCTCAGCTATGCTTATGTGCACCATCTCCATTGCCTCAAGATGCAAAAATGAGTTATTATACATAATATACATTTTTGACGGTTTTCCAATAGTAGAGAGAGATCACAGCATGGAACAGAAAACAACTTTTAAGTTGCCTATGTGATGTCACTGCTTTGATAGTTCCTTGAATACCCTCATTACAAACCATGTCCACCTGGCCGTGGTTTTCTTTAAGACTCAGTCTCTGGCCTAAACTGAGGCTTATTATTCCTACTGTATTCCTTTTTCTGCCTTTATTCTCCTCTCAAATGTCCAGCTTTGCCTCAGTCCTCCCAGCCTACCAGAGGAAAACAGAAAATTCCTGTCAAGTTATTCTGCAGTTATTCCCTGTTTCACATTTTGCAAAAATCTCTTTTACATTACTAAAAAGACCTACTAACTGACTATCTTAAACAACTGCCTACCAGTGGGATGATTCCGCAATCTTTCCTAAAAGGAGCAAGGTGCTCTTTTGTGTGTGTGTGTGCATTACACTTTGGCCCTCATACTGACTCTTCTCTTCACTGGTCTGTTCTGGGTTTGGCCAAATGCCAATGGTCAGCTAACAGCCTGTCCTCTTCTTTCTTGGCCCCTTTCACACTCTTGGTTGATAATTTTCTAACTCCAGAAACCAGATTAGGGAGTCCTTGAAGTCATTCCTCCCTTCAGGAGCTGAGCACTAGTCGCTGAATCACAGTGCTGGGCCTGCTTTGCTTTTCTCCATTCTTAGCTACCATGCCATATACATGTTACACAGACAGGAACCTAAGTCACTTCTTTTTTCCTGAACTAGGCTTGGTTTGGTGGTAATTCACATACAAATATGCCATGTACAGTACCATAAATAATGTGAATGGTGGCTATAAATGAAACCTATGCATAATAATAATACTTTCAAGGGTTACCACCTATTGAGCATTTTGTAGATGCAAAATACCAGGTCTACCATTTGTCATCTCAGCTTTAGCAAACAATGTGCAACAGAGACTGTCGGCTCATTTTACAGTTGAAGAAACTGAGGCACTGAGAATTTCATGATTTGTACGAAGTTACAGAGCTAAGAAGCAGGAGGCAGAATTAGAACTTAAATGTTTTTGTGTCCAGAGTACAAGTTCTTGACCATTCTAATCTATTAGGTTGTCAGGAAAGTCATGACAAATTTTTCTGTTTTTCTATGCAAAAATACATCATGACTTTCCTGACAACCCAATATTACCTTTCTACACAGGTGATAAAAGCCTGGCTTCACATATAATCTGAGCAGATGGAACCTAGCACTTCAGGTCAGTAACGGATAAATTCTAAAATCTATTAAAGTCAATTAAAGAAAAAGAGATGTGCCACAGATTCAAATCTTTGACGATAGCTAATCTTCTTTTTATTTAATTATTCCTGATATAGTCTCTTATAGTCACTTAATAATCTAGTTTCAGGAGAACACCTTATAACAATTCATTGCTTACTCATCCCTTCTTTGTGTCTTTCTGGAAATTTCACAGTATGTCTTAGCCTGGAAGTTATCAAATAAGTCAGTTTTTCTAAAGTGGGGGTGGTGAGCCAGGGAAAACTTGACCAGACAAAAAGTTCATGGAAAATGGAATTAAAGGATAAGCTTATTTTGGTGTAGGAAATTTTGAAATCCATGCATAAATTTGTTTTTGTTTTTCCTCTTTTTTAGTAATATATATACATTGCCATAAAATTTTTGAAGACCCCTCCCCACATATGTGAAATCATGCAATGGGATAATGTCTTAGTCATCTATGTTTATAGTTGATTTTATGGTGATTTTAAAGTATTTTTGGCCTATGATTTAAAACTTTAGAATGTTTTAGGCACACTTATCTGAACACCATTATTCTCTTTTATACTTTCTTTAAACATAGTGCTCTGCTGGTTAGAAGCCCTGATGAGTCATCAGCACATGCCATTGGAGAAGACCATTTTTTTGAAAACGAGCTGCCCATAAGTTTCCAGAGGACCTCTAGGCATAGGCTTGTAGTCATCGTGAGATTGCATATAGGACTCTCAGAGAGCCCTCATTTTAAAATATCTTTTTAAAAGGAGATAAAGGTGTAAAGAGACTAAGAAACTCTTGGTGATGTTCTCTGAGTTAGCCTAAACAGCACCAACAATCAAAACAAACACAAAAGTTAAAGTGGAAGACTCAGTCAGGCACCCAAATGTTATGACATTCAACATTGATATCATAGGAACAAAACCATAGTATTTTTTTGGCCAAGACCCAAGTGAGGTGGAGTGACATGGACATTCTGAGATGTTTCGTCTTTCAGAGGATGAAAAGAGTTATCTTAATGTTGGAATTTAGTAATAAAAAAGACTGAGGAATTTACCTAATCTGAACACTTCTTTATCAAGTGATGGTTGGTGAGGATATGACTTGGCCAGTTTTAGTTACATTGTTAATTCCAGGGGCAGGAATGTAACAAAGTTCTTCTGCTTTCAGTTAAATCTTCCTAGAACTACATCATGCTGGAATTTATCTTTGAGTAGAAAGATTGGTAGCTAGAATATTCCACCTTTGACATTGGTTTAGATTTTTTTTTTTTCTGTTTCCAAATATAGATATAGTGTTTTCAGCATAGGTAGGATCTACAACACAGGTTGGTTCGCCCTCAAGATTGTTACCTGTATGAGATGAATACATTACATAAACAAACAGAGCCCCTGCTTAGGGCCAAGAGAGGATGTTAAGAGCTCCAAGATGCCGATCCATATTTTATGGTTGCACCATTGTTAACAGTCATCTCTGCAGAACTGGTATTGGGTCATCAGAAAAGTCATGACGTATTTTTCTATGCAAAAATGTGTCATGACTTTTCTGGTAACCTAATATTTCAGAGAAAATAACATGACCTAAAGAAGGTCAGGCCTTAGTTAAATATATCTTGAATATGTTTGGTACCTCCCTGAAATCCAACTGTTTCATGAGAATATGTGTATAAAGGAATTTTGAGAATACTTAAAAGAATGCAATTTTTTTTTTTTTTTTTTTTTTTTAGTGTAGTTCAGGAAAGTAAGTGTGTGTGAATAGAAAGAGGAGGGGGGATCATATAGTGGTGATACCTACAAGTATGGGTCCCCCTGGTGTAAATTTAATGTTTCAAAGAAAAATGTTTGAATTGGGGCCAGCAGTTAGCGTAATGGCTATGTCGCTGGACTCCCATGTAGTCGACCGTGGTTTGAGTCCCGGACCTGGTGGCTTAAACTCACACAGGGCGCGTATACATGTGTGCCCAAGATCCCGAGAGGAGAATGGAGGAGAAGGGATTGCGGTGTGGCCATCCCCCCTGGGGGGTAATTTCTCACCTTGTATCTCTCTGTCTCTCTCTGTTTTTCTGGCGAGCTCACGCACCCTATAGCAAAACAAACAAACAAGCAAACAAACAAAAAAACAAGAAAAATGTTTGAATTAATGACAGAATTATGATTAAAGTATTTGTGGTATAAGGCATGTAGGAAAGGCCAACAAATAAAGGGGTATGAGCAAGCTCATACAAAAAAAAAAAAAAAAAGACAAGATTCATTTTATTAATATAATTTTGTTTAAGGTTTTTGCCATAGGACACATGTACTCACCTGAGAGAGATAGAGAGAGACAGAGAGAGGGAAAGTGAGAAATCAACCTCCAAGTGGGGTGACCATGTTGAAGTCCCTTCTCTTTCATTCTTCTCTTGAGATCTTAGGCATGCACACACCCATGCTCGACATGATTTTCAAGCCATGGGCTCTAGGACTCGAACCACAGTGAACCATGTGAGAATCCAGCACCTTAACCACTACACTGCCTGCTGGCCTCAGGTCATTTTGTTTGTAAGGAAGTTTTAAAGGGTCCATATTTTAGAAACTGTTCCCAAAGAAGTCACAAATCCACTTAACATGTGAATTTTCTTTATTAATGTGAATAAAATTAAGAGAGTATTTGTCATTATTTCAAAAGTCCACTTTTATTATATGTCATTCATTTAAAAAAAAAAAACAAACTGAAAACAATTAAGACCCTACCCCCTGTCATGCTGTGTTGCAGTTCCTGCTGTCTAGATGAATCCCCAGGGCCACTGGTCTTCAGATCTTTCTTACTGGCGGAGAACGCCTCCGCCTCCTGGCTCTCCTAGCAGTGGTACTGCCACCACCACACACCAGCATAAAGCACAGATTGCTGCCCAGCTCCTTGGAGAGGGGCCAGTGCATTTGTCAGGAATTGAAAAGTTTTGGAGCCAGTTCGAGGACTTTCTGGTACACAAAGTGTTGGCTGGAAACGTGGTGAGTATTAAATGGGATGTTAATTTTCATGAATATTTTCCCCATGGTTGTAGCTTGTGGTCATTGAGCAATTTAGCAATCACCATGTGGTCTGTTGGACACACAGCCTGGGTGAAGTTCAAGAAATTAGCAGCCAGTCAGTGGGGAGAAGGCCAGAGCTCAAATTCATGTATGTCTCACTTTCTTTCTTTCTTTCTTTCTTTCTTTTTTTTTTTTTTTTTTTTTTTTTTGCCTCCTACCCACCTCGGGGGATGGTTGCTTCTTTATTAAAACTTTAGATGAAACCATATGTCCAAGATCTGTATATACCTCCCATACTGATGTTCTTTCACATTTTCAGTCATTTCAACTTAGCTTGTGTCTGTCAGACTTGTATTCTGGCTCTGAAATTTGATTCAGTGATTCTTAGCCAGTTCATTCTTTGCCTCATCATGTGGGATATATTGCATCACTAATTCCAAGGATGCTTATTCATCTAAGGCACACACATGATTTTATTTTTTTCTTCAAATTGAGAGCAGGTTTGTTGAAGTTCTGGAAGTCACAGGACAGTAAAAATAGAGATACAAGGAATGCAGAAAATCACGATCCTTTTATTTGATATGAATATCATTTGTGTTTTTGTTATTTGTTTTGTTTTGCTGTTTTTATTTGTTTGCTTGTTTTTGAGATGGATTCTTGCTTTGTTTCCCAGCCTGGCTTCAAGCTCATGATCCTCCTGTCTCAGCTTCCCAAGGAGCTGGGATTATAGGTATGTATCAACCACCTAACTCTTTTTTTTTCTGTGAACTTTCCTACATTATATGACCCATATCAACTTTTGCAGACTTTGTGAGGTGTCTAAGACAGGAGCCCTGTAGTATTCACTTCTTTACAGAATCTTCAAGTCCTTAGAGGTGCAGATGTGTTGCCCGAGATCACACAGCTAGGACTGGAAGACAGATCTCATCCCCCAGCCACTTTCTCCTTTCTCCCTGCCAGCCCTTCCTCATCTCAGTATCCAAGCTCTGTCATGAAGGGTTTTTGTTATTTAATATGTCTTTACATGACTTATATTTCTGGATTTTAAATAAATTAGAGCAAGTTATGTTTACATTATCATTCCTTTATACTCCAATGTGCTTTTCAGGATGGAGGAGTATGGACAGATAAAGCACACATGCTGTCAAAGTTGTTTGACATCCATGCACCTGAGCACATCCCATAGACGGAACCAGAGGAATAGGTGTAGCAGGCAAATAATGTCTGACATCTTGTTGATGAGTGTTTGCATGCCCTCTACTGTGTTACTCACTGTGGTCTACTGAGGTAAGAGAAGCTACTTAACAGGGTCACTTTTCTGCTCACTATTTAATTGTCACTCATGATGGAACCCAAGAAATCAAACGTATCTATATTCTCTTTCCAGTTCAAGGAACGTAAGCTTTGACATCTGATCTTGCCTTCTGAGAATTAAATAGTAAATGAATCTGAAATATATCTCTGAAAGTTTTCTAATAAATCTGATCTAAGGATAGTTACACATATAATTAATTATATATAATAATGCACATTACATAGCTATCTAGTTTTATAAGTACATTTTATATTTATTCCCAAATATATAAATTCATAAATAGAAATGAGAAACACATTTTATTCAATATTGTCAGAAAATAAATTGATATACATAATGTAAATTTTCATCTTTCTTATTTAAACACTTTACTTTAAATTATTTGAAATGTTTGATAAAATTTCCTATGCATTCTCTATTATGAGCCTCTCTTTCAATAAACAGAGCAAGAAACATAAAATTCACCTAATCTCTTTTGGAAAGTTTGTGTTAATATTATAAACATAACTTATTTCTGTTCTCTTAACAAAAACAATCTCAGGTTTGGTGGCCTTGGGAGATTCTCTGGGACATTCTATCTGGTACAGTTTTGTGTCTCTTCTCTTACTACGGAACTAGTCTGGTGTTGAGAAGCTTTAGCCTGGTATACTGCAGGATGCCTATAATTCACTTCTTATATCTCTTGAGCTACCATATGCAATATCAAAAATATAAATATTATATCCAAAACAGGAGCTAATAGACTCTGAGTGATTAAAGCCCATATAGGGGAATTATTGTGTGGAATAATAACCATGAATTGCTGATTCTAGGCCATCTTTTTATGCTTTCTCTTTGATTTCCAGGTGGGCTATAAAGGGTGAAGGTTGCCTAATAAGTGACTTGCTACTCCCCATTAAAAAACAATGAGGTGCATATGAATGCTTTAAATCTGATCAGGATTAGCAGTGTTTAGTTTGGGATGACCAAAGGATGAGCATGGAGTGCTTCTGGCTGTGCATATGAGAAGAGTGTTTTTATTTGTGTTTGTCAAGGATGAACCTATGAGCAAACTACAAAAGGAGGATGCCTCTTTAACAGGGATCTGGCTTGTGTTCCTGGGAGCTTCGCGGCGTTTGTTCGTAAAGCAGCATGAAAGAGTTGATTTTCATTTTATGTTGTGCTTGTGAGGCATTAGCATGATGTTCTAACACTTGTAAATGAATACAGCTCTTGCCTAATCTGTCATTTTAATGCCTTATAGATTTTATTTCACTCGATGTTGTACCAGATTCTCAATAATAATAATCAACTGCTTTGTTGTTCTCTTGCAGAAATTAAATTTCTGCCATGAGTGTGCAACTAATAAAAGATGTTGCTTGAGGAAACAAAAAATAAATATGATGAATCATAAAAGTTGGGTGGGGAGGAGAGGGGAAGTTGCTCCTAGATGAAAGACAATTACTGAACCAGCGGTGAATGTGTCTGATTCTCCTATCGTCAACAGCTTAATAACCCACACAGAGTCTTTAGCCACAGCACTTATATCTGAGCATTAACCTCATGGACTTGTGTTTTCCACAATTTCATTTAGAAGCACTAAAATAAAAGGTGAGGTAGTGAAATAACTCTTCTCTTTGCTTTGCACCCTAGATAAGTTTGCTCAGGGTTGCCATTTTGCACTTACACATACCTTTCATCTTTTCCCCTGTCACAAGCTATCCAGGAGAGCAGCATTAAAGGCAGCTGTGTGGGACTCGGAGTATTGGCAAAGACTGTAAAGTGGAAAATAAACAGTGTGTCTATCACCAAGCTACAAGAACACAGCACTCATAGCAGTGAAATGACAGTCAGTGGCAAGCAACTAATTGGTCACCAGCTTTGGAGAAAATATATTCTTCCAGACCTCTGTCATTTACTATGTTCTTTAAACTAGTGAAAAAACTGCCAGGTTGAAGTGTTGGCTCTAACCCCCACCCAAAAAAAGAAAATGGAGAGTTAAGGCTGCAAGCCTGGGCAGGCACTTTGGAGACTGAGTAATTGGTGGTATTTGATGCTAGAGAAAGAGTTGGTTTCGTTCAGCGTGATTAATTCACCCCATCGTGCGCAAGAACCACGTAGGCCCAACACCGGTTGTGTGATAAACGTTATAGTTCACATTGCCCCTGCCTGATAATCCAACCCCAAGTGAAGTTAGCATGGTGGCCAGATTTTTATTAGAGCCTTCCCTTTTCTCCCAGTTTGTCTATCACATTTATAATTTCTCTTGGAAGATTGATACCTCGATGAGCTACAAGAAAGCTAGAGGGAACATGTTCATCTACCCAGAGAAGGGTGCCTAACACGTAAATGGTAACCAAGAGAAAGCCAAATACAGGGTAACATGCTATCACAGTGCTAGACCTGTGATTATAGCATGATATTAAATTTAAGAATATGAAAATTAATGGGACAAGCAAATAGGGTAATGGTTAAGTCACTGGACTCCTACATGGCTGACCATGGTTCAAGTCTCAGACCTAGGAGCTTGAAACTCACGCCAGGCACATATGTATGTGTGCCCAAAATCCTGAGAGGACAAAAGAGGAGAAGGAATTGTGCCATTGCCATCCCTCACTTTCTGTCTCTCTATCTCTCTCTCTCTTCAGCAAGTGCATGTGCCCTATAGCGAAAAAAAAAAAAACTGTCTTAAAAGATATGAAAAATAAGCACCTTTAAACATAATTAAATTTGCATAAACATGTGGACCTCTATAGTGAAACTGGACACAATGTACAGGGAAAAGAAGGAATAAAAACAAACTGCCTACCCCACTAAACACTTTATGTATTTAAATGTATACTCATAGAGGCCGCTCTATTCAGTATAGCTTAGTTGCATGGTGCCTTAGTGTGCACTGAGATTTTGATCTCAAAAAGTAAGAGGTCTTTGTAGGAATGACTAGTTGATACTCTTAGATAACTGAAAGTAATGTAAATTTATAAGTTTAATCACTGTTTTAAGCTTTATAAATTTAAGCACCTGATGAAGTGCTGGTAAACCTTACATCTGCTGGCCTTGGATGGGCTTTAGAAAACAACTTCTGGAATTTTACCCTTTACTGTACATGATTATATCTACATTTTAGGAAGGGAATAGATCACTGGCTTTCCTCAGATTCCCAAAAAGAATTTGAAAACCATTCATTCCACGTAAACCAAAGGACAAAAGAAAGAATAAGAGGAAAATAATTCATTTTAAGGTGATCTAGGACTTAGTTGTTATTGAAAGTCAGCTCTAAATAGGAAAGCATTGATTAAACATTTAAAGTCGTTTTTACATGTTGGGTGCATATGTGGGTGTCTAGGATCATGAGCAGAAGAGAAGGGGAAAGGGATTATAGCATGAGAAGACCTTGTTGGGGGTACTTCTCTCTTTTTCTCCCTCTTTCTAGTGAGTATCCGTGTGCTCTCCATCATGAAAGAAAGCTGTTTATT